AATATACAAATTTTTAATCTGCACGCGAGAAATACGTGATCAATTATTAAAATTTAAACTCCGTCCAAACTTTATCAAATTTTATCAAAATGAAAAAAAATTATGAATGAACGATTCTAATTTTTTGATAAGTATAATAAGTTATGTAATAATGAGCTGATGTTAATCAGTCGTTGGACGACCTTCGAGTTCCCTTTGTATTTTGCCGAATCTAAAAAAAAAAAAAAAAAAAAAATGGAAGAAAGAAAGAAAAGGGAATCGAAATCTACATCGATGTCAAGATTGTGTCTCTTCTCGAAATAGAGAGGGGGAGGAGAATGATTAACAGTAAGTAATCATAATTTATGTCGATTATGGAATTTTTCACAATATTATTCTGTAATCGGCTTATCAACGGAAGTCCCGTTTACATATTTACGTAATTTTGACCCTTGACGATTACTTAAGAATCTATAAAATCAAAATATTATCGAATATGAAAAACAAATTCTCAAATGATTATCTCTGTGTATATGCATGTTTCGTATACATATGATGAAATATGAAACTAGTATTCCATTATCCAGTAAGTATTCCATTGATAACAATTCAGCAATTGCTATAATATTCCATAATCGTGAATTTCATTCATAAAAATTTTACTACCGGCTGTTTATCTCTTATCCATTTGATTATTAATGTCTTTATAATTGAGATATGAGTTATGTATACATTGTTTCTTTTTTTTTTTTTTTTCTTTTTGATAGAAGATAAGCGAAGAATTTGGACAACATTTTCATAATTAAAAGTGTTTTAGTAAATTAGAAAGAGATAGAGGCATTCTTTGAAACCGCGTATCGTGGCAATGTTTTTTTAAGAGAAAATATTAGTCAAATCAGATTGTTCTTAAATCTTGAAATACTTCAAAGATCAAAAGAGTAGAGGAACGAAAATTTGAGATTGCAATTATTAAAAGTGATAAAAGTTAGCGATAGGTTCGAGTGCATGACAAGGGGATTTGAACTTATATTTGAATCTTTTAAGTATTTTGAGAGAAAAAGATAAAACAGATCTGAATGGGACTGAATTTGAAAACTCTACTTTTAAAAGTGAACAAGTTTTGTTTCAAAATAGATCGAGATTCGAGAAAACTTTTTCGCTTTAAAAATTCTTTACTAAGTTATATTTTTCCAGGATTCGTTTCCGTCTCTTGACTTGCGTTAAAATATTCTAAAATTCTACGTGACGTTTACAATCAAAAAAAAAAAAGAATTGAATAATTTATTATATTTTCTGCATATAAGTATGCCACGGATAAGGAAAAGGAAATAAAAATTTGACAAGTATTATTATCATGTTATTACATTTGACATTTAATTTTATTCGTATATTTTATACAATTTATAATTATAATTATATTTATAATTACAAAAAGAACAAATAAAATAAAACTACAAAATAAAACTTATGAAGAGGATAAAATGTGTGGTAAAATGGGATGCATCTTTAATTCATTATTAATATCCAAAAAACAGAGATCGTCCATTGTTGCGGGTCTCCAATCAATGTTAACAAATTCATCTTTAAACGAGGTAGGATTCCTGGATTGGATATACGTAATGATGTAAGATAATAAAAATAATATTTTATGTTTTTATATTTATTATATAGAAAAAAAAAAAATAAAATTTACCCCGTTTTTGCGAAATTAGTCCACATTCTAGTCATTCGTTCCATTGTTATTCTATCTTTTGTACCGATTACTGGTGGATTAGGCTCATAAACTTTATATTTCGGTGAATATATCAAATATGGCGCGTCATCCGTATGAGCTGCTCCTGTTAAATGTAAATAATATATAAATATAAAAAATATGTATAAATGTGAACGAATATGTATTAACAAATGTTAATTTATACAATACATTTGAGTAATAATCCTACAGAAGGTAACAAAAAAAAAATAAAGATAGTTAAAAAAGAAGGAAGAAGAAGAAGAAAAGATACACTGATTGTTTTGTTCGTTCAAATCCAACGACTCGTACCCAACGCTACCGATCGATTCTCACGCGATAAACATGTTCTGCGATTGGTCAATATTTTTCACTAATAATTCGTTAACAAGATCGAAAATTTTCTCGAAATTGTTTGAAATCAACGTGAAAAATCGTAACCATGTTAAGCTTTATCGATAGACTTTCTTCTAGCATCATCTCGTACATTGTACATATTCCACTAGTAGACTATTCACTCCAAGAATAAAGGGATAATGAATTTTAAAAATTGTATTCTTACCAGAAACTTGACGTTTTTGTATGAAATCAATGGCCGATTCCTCATTTCCAACGTACGAGAATCTACAAACGTAATTAGACACGGTTGTCCTTTTCACTAGATCTTCTATCATCACGATAATAGGAAGTTCGAAATATATATGAGTCAATGCCTCGATTGCTTTGCGGATTTTTTTTTCATTAATCGGTTTCCCTTCAAAGAATCGATTGTTTATCGTATCGTAAATTCGTTCAAAATCTTCCTCACTTAATTTCTTCAACGATTTCAAACTTCTCACGTACTTGGGCATATATTCGTTCAACGTTTCAATCGTCTCCCTCGACTTATCTGGGGGAAGGAAAATAAGATTAAATAAATCAGATCGATGCCCAAAAAATTGTCACGAAATTTACCTTTTACGTATGATATGCATTCGTCAGCCGTGTAACAGATTATTACGGGGATATTACTTCCTCTTGTCCTCAGTAATTCATCGATAGATTTTGGCATGACGGGATCGTCTGCTATCTCGTCGTAACTCACCCCGAAAGGAATCTCGAAGGAGAATTTTTCCTATCAACGGGGATATTCCATTCATGTTTTTAATTTTGTTTTTAATTTAAATTTGTCGCGAAATAAATAAATTATGAAATTTCCTTTTTTAATTTAAACGATAAGACATAGTAAAACGCAAGATAATCGCGAAATAAAGATATTAATAATTGTCACAGATCGATAATTTATCTCTCTTCACTGTTTTTCTCTGTTTTCAATTTTTCTTATTTATTCATTTCGAAATTATTCTTAATCGTGAAACAGATGGAAAAATTCCTTACCTCTATCGTCACTATATTAGATTGAATTTTCACGATATCCTCGGCTGGCACTTTTCGCAGAAATTCGACCACCTCCTCGGGATTTTTGGATGTTTCACCGAGGAGGGCGGCTAATCTGAATCCACGAACAGAATAATTCTGACTCTTGCACCAAGAACTCCAAAGCACACCGCTCTGCATGATCGCTTTGTGCAACAATCCTGAAGAAATTTTTCTTTTTTTTATTAAATATTCGACATTTTTTTTTCGGCAAAACGAACGTCATCGTTTTCGAGATCTGCCGAGAATCGAAAAAATCAGAAAGCCGAGCGTTACCTTCCGTGCGTGGCGACAAAAGCAAAGCGTGAACCAAAACCGATCCTGCGCTCACGCCGAAAACCGTCACGTTGTTAGGATCCCCCCCAAAGTTGGAGATATTTTCCTTCACCCATTCCAAAGCCAAGATCAGATCCTTGAGGCCGTAATTCCCGGCCGCGACTCGATGGCCCAGGTTTAGGAATCCTGTTTTCCAATCGAAAAAAAAAAAAAAAGAAAAAGATCCACGCGTTAAAAATATCGTTTCCATCCTTGTTCCTTCCCCCTCGCTTTTTAAATCGAATCGACATGGCGGACTAACCGAATGCACCGACTCTGTAGTTACTCGAGACGACCACCACGTTTCTCGGGAGCAGGTAATCGGGCCTCATTTCGTGGAAACTCGAAGTACCGCATATAAACGCACCCTCGTGAACATAGAACATAACCGGTTTCAATTGATCGAGAGAATTGGTGTAGACGTTCAGGTAAAGACAATCCTCGCTGCCAATGATTTGATACGGTATAAATCGTTGGCGCTGGGTGCAGTAATATTCAACGTTTTTGGAAACATCTTTGATACCTGTCCATGGCTCGGCTGGTTGCGGATCCTTAAATTTAATTTTTAAGAGATTAGATGGAAGATAATAATAATAAGAGCATCGCGTTAATTATTCCATCACTAATTACAGATCGTTAGATTCGAATTTTCGTCTCTTTACATATGTCTTGGTATTTTAATTATCATTTTTTGGGGAAAAAAAAAAAAGAATCAAAAATTAGATCGATAACCGATATCAATATCGAGTTGAAATTTCTTTCGTATTAATAAAATGTATTTGTTAGAAAGGAAAAAAATTTGCTTGTATATCGTTGATATTTTAAAAGAAAAGAAAGAAAAAGAGCTCAAAATACGAAGATATGAATGAGAGAGTTTAAAAATAAATAAATAAAATGGTGGAAGTATATATATTATTACGTGCTCACTTTAAATCTGAGTTCTCCAACAGGAGGTGTTGCGAACGGTATCCCTCTGAAAGCGTAGTACGACGATGATCCTAAGATATTCCGTACCATCGCCCCTTTTAATTTACCTTGTTTCACGGTTACTATTGGCGTACTCATTTTTAAGCTCGTAGTTAGATTAGTACTGAGATTGTCTATATTTTTGCTTCCACTTTTACGTGTTTTATCCTTTTTTGCATTTCATATAAATATTCTGTGGATTTATGTACATTTAAATTTTGTATGAATACATAAGCATCCTAATCTATTTACAAGTAATATAAGTATAATGAAGTGAAATAGAGGTAAAAATAATGGTGACGTACAATTCTATTTTTTTCCTCTCTTTCCGAAAAATTTTTATTTTAAATATTTATAATTTTTAAGTTTGTATTTTTAAGAGAAATGCTTATCTCGAAATACAAATTTATTTCACAAGTTCACGAGGAAACAAACAGATGTAATTTAATATTAATTGGAAATTTATTCGATACGAATTCGAAACAGATTTGATTATTCAGTTAATATTATTAATTATTATATATTAATCTGCAACTTATGTAATTTTTTAATGAACTATATGTAAATAACTATAAATATAAATAATTATAATATAAAAATAATAAATATAATAACTATATCATAACTATATCATGACACATTCGAATAAAATATTTTCATTCGAAATTTGATTTCTACAAAAAATTAAATATTCGTATGAAATTATTATGAATAGATATGATACTAAATAAATAATGCATATATACACTTAACAATATCACATTTGAAGTTTAAACTTAAAAAATAGATAATAAAATTTAAAATTTTAATTTATTAATAATTTATTAATATTTATAATTTATATTTATATAATTTATATTTAATATAATAAATATAATAAATATAATATAATTATATTTATATAATATTTATAATTTATTAATATTTTATTTAATTTTAAGAAAAACAAAAAAGAGTACAGTTGATGTTCGAAATTTGATTTGACGTACGAACAATTTGAAACATGAATTTTAAAAAAATTTTAAAATCGAATATAAAGGATATTATAAGGATATACAATAAGGATATATTATATCGTGTAAAAATATTTGGGTAGATATTAAAAAAAATTGTCGAATAATTAAAAAGCATAAAGAAAACGTAAAAAAAAAAAGCCAATATTGCAATGGACGAGTATCAATGCGATGAAAGATTTTTAGAAAATTTTTAAAAATAGACTAAAAATAATTGAATGAACAAAAAATTAAACAAGTTATCCTTTCAAATCGAAAGTAGAATATAAATATAAAGAAGAATCAATTTGATTATTACTAATAATTTAAAATAAGCACTTGGAATAAATATTTTTCACTCGCTTATTCGCTGTATACAAATTTTGAATTGAATTTATTTAAATTTAACTCGAAGAACTACTTGTTACATAAGAAAAAATTGTGTTAAAAAAAAAGAGGGTGAGGTTGAAGGAATATATAATTTTGAGACAAATAATAGAATTAATCATCGACTATTAAATCTTAATAGAGGTAAAACTTAGGATATCTAGAATTATCGAGGATATTTATTATCTTAAATTATTATTAATATTAAGTATATAGTTCGAAGAATATACGATTGTACAGAAATAAACGTATTATTCGATCCAGTAGATTTGCTGAAAAATTGAAAAATTTATCTAAATCTAATTAAAATCTAATTAAGAAAATATAATATATTGATTGAAAAACTTGTATATTAATAAAATTTCTAAAAGATTATGTTCGACAATATATGCGTCATAAAGTCATTCTCGCTTAACACGACATTTTATCATGTTTTGTTACTATATCGAATTTTTTATATTAAATTAATTTCGCACATTGAATTCCCATTTATTTTTGATTTCCCATCATAACATTCAGTATTTTCTCGTTCAATTTTCAAGCCTACTATTCATTTAATTATATTTTATCATCGTTCCAAATACAATTGAGAATTGTTTGTTTTATAACTATGAAAGTGATTCACCATTTTTACGAGTGAGCTGAATGATAAAAAATATATTGATGATGGGGACGTGAAAAAAGAAATATATCCTTGCCTAAAGAAAAAACAAAAATATTAATTTTTGTTAAAAAATTGATTTTAAAAAAGAAGAATATATCGATAAAACTTTTACCATAAAAATAGTAAAGATATAATAAAATATAAAATAATAACACGTGTAAAATAACAAATTAAAAGAAAAGACGAATCAAGAAAATGTTTTTTACTTCGTCAGTTATTACGTAATGATGTTTATATCTCAAAAATTGTAAACATTTTTTTTTGTAAATATTCAAATATTCTTATCAAAATCATTATGAAAATAAATTAACGATATCATAATCTTGTCTATTGATGCTATATCTTTCGTTTGATATATTTTTCTTATTTTTTTCATATTTTTTACAATGTTCAATTGCTATATTCAATGTATTCACTATTTATTTCTGAAATATAGAAATACAAATATATTTGAGAATAAAATACTCACCAATTGTTCTTTTTCAGGACACTTTTCAGGTTGAGAATGAAAATTAATCTAGGACAGTATTAATCTTGCACTATCTATTTACGAAAAATGTTTGTAAAAATAATAAAATAATAAAATCTTGAGTATTTCATACTTTAATATTTAAATGTGGAATTCAAATTGAGAATGACAAAAGAAAAAATTCTAGGATAATTTATACATAGAAAATATAGATATGTAAAGCTTGAAATATATTATTGAATTATATTAATATATTATAGATACATATGCATGAAACTGATATAAATGATAAAATACAAATTAAAATATATTAAAATATATGTATCTATATATATAATAATATAATATAAATATATAAATAATACAAATAATTTTTATTTCTTATTGCAACTTCATTTTTTCTAGAATCAATCTATTTCATATTTTTCATTAATTATTTACAAATATTTTTCAAGCAAAAAGAGAAGAAAAAGGAAAAATAAATTTTTAAATCCAATTTCATTAAGAAATGCATTTCAATAAATTATCAACAAATATGAAATGCAGTTTGCATCAAAAGTGCAACAGTTTGATTAAAAATAAAACTTGATTTATTTGTATTAATTTAAAACATTTAGAATCGTCAAAGTGAATACACGCGCTATTCACACGTGTGTACGCGCATGCGCAAGACGCAAAATTGCGAATGGGGAAAGTCCCTGCTTTCAGTCTAGGGGAAACCGCAACTTTCATTATTCCATTTGGAAAGTTATTCGCACGGTGAAATTAAAACGGAGACCGGAAATAAGATACATTTACCTTTTTCCCCGATTCCCGTCACGAATGACAATTGTTGAAATACAGGAATATTCCTTCTCATGGATAAATGCATATACGGCACGAAAAGCGGAGTAAGGAGTAAGATTGAAATGGAAAAGAAATGCTGGAAAATCGGGATAGGAAATAAAATCTACATTCTCTATAAATGTAGAATATTTTCTAGAAAAGAAAAAAAAAATGATAAAAGATTCATTAAGAATTCTCTTTGTGATAAGTTTGATAACTTTAGACTGTAAAAAGGTCATGTATATATGCGATAAAATTAATCATAATAAATATCTTACTAATTGCTTGTAATAAAGTTACAATTTGTGCGAGATATCTCTTAATTTATGTGATAATTATATCATTAACATTATCAGGTTATCTGTTACAATTATATTATTATTTCATATCGTATATGATTCAATGAATCATTCATATTTTCGATACATATTATGTCTATGAACATTTCGAATTCATTTCTTTGTTTATTATAAATTATTTATTATCTAAATAAAATATTTTGAAGACAGATATAATTCAATACATTTCTGCATACCTTGTAATTACTTTTTAATTTATATTTTTTAAACTTTGCTACATGTTTTATATTATTATATTCTTACGCAGATTACATTTTCAATATTTCTCCAATGTTAATCCAAATTTTAATAGATTAAGCCATAAAACTTTTTGTATCTTAGAAAAAAAAATTCGTTTACAGTGAAAAATTTAATTTTAATGAAAATTTGTGTATAGTATAGTATGCAATTTTTTTAGAAGTTTATATAAAAATTATATAATTCATTCAAATTCCATTTTGAAACAATTTTAATATTGTTACATTTATAGAATTATTAAAAACAATAACAAAAATCAAATTCAAAATGATTGTCATAATTCATGACACTCGTTACTCAAATTGAGAAATAAAAAAAAGAAAATTTATATTTCAAATTATAATGATTTGTTCCAATAAAAAATAATTCATATGATTTAGTATTAATTATTATCATTAATGGAATTATTATTAGTCCATTATTATAAAGATTCAGGAATAATTTTGAAATATTTTTTTTCAATTCATAATTCATTAGTCAAAGTGGTGGAAAAAGAAACAAACAACTTGAAAATTGAAAAGAATTTTTCTCTCTGGTTCGTCAAGGAATTCTTGGCATTTCTATTAATGGATGAAGAACTTGGAGGTAAAGAGAATTATCCGATCCCTGTAAATTCAAAGGTGGATTTGTGCATATCGAATTCTCCATTTCCTTCCAAGTTTCTGCCACCTCCCATCCTTTCCTGTAATCAACAGTATTATTTATCGACGCATGAAGTTCGCTTTGAGAAATTTACCTGGAATACACTATCAGGATGTTGATCATTCATGGTGTTATTTTAATCAACTTCCAAGCTTCTCTTGAATTTAGATGAAATTTTGCTTGTACCGTGTCTTTTATAGAGACAATATTGTGCGTTTTGAGTTATCGACGAAAATATTTGAACGTTATTTTTTATCACTTTTACATTGATTTCAATGAAAGTTTGTACGTAGAATATAATAGGTTAAATATAATAATTTTTTCAATCCCCAAAGTTCGAGCATTTTTACATATACAATCTTGTATAGGAATTTTTTTTTTTTTATAACAAGAACACTAAACTTTTGCTCTATTTTGCATCATTATAAAATTATATTTAAAATATATATACATATATATACATATTGAAACTTTGTTGAACTTGAGTTATAAAAAAATTCAATCTTTTTACAATTATTATAGATTTTAAACTATCTTTAAAATAATAATATTTCATTATTTC